GATACTGAAATACAAGATCCTTCCTTCTTTCTCTTTGTTGTGTCGGTTGATTGTGTGACTCATGTATCGTAATAGGGTGCTCAGGCATGCGTAATCAGAAGCAGTTGGTCCTTCATGCTATAAATTTGAAATTTAAAACATGGGGTCCAATGTGTGTGGCATCATTCATTGAAAACATTTGTGTTTTGGAAGTGATTTTAGTGATACTTAATGGGGGAGTCCTACAAGTTGAAGCTAAGTTGTCTCTACTCTCTCGTATAAGTAAAAATTCAACCCTTTGAATGGTTTGCCTACTTGAGGATGTGTGTTTACGAGAATGGATAGAGCTTGCGATCCCCTTTAATTTCATTGACCCTCCACATGAATTGAGGAAAATGAGTTAAAAGAAGTACTCTGGCAAGCGACAGATGTACAGAATTTGCTCTCGCTCAACCAATAAGGGTCGACCGCGCATAAAAGCTGCAATTTGGAACCCCACCAAGAGTAGAAACAAAGAGAAAAAAACGATAAGGAAAATGGGTTCAACGAAGGAAATGGAATGTAAAGAGCACCCGATACGTAGAGTCTTTGGTTGTTGTGCTGTGTGAATTTCTTTATCCATGAATTGTCTATCCTAGGTCCACTGCTTCGCATGATCCTGGCTTGAGTCTAGTACTCACATTGAGAGAAATAGGGAATATCTTAGAAGACCGGTTGACCTCGTAAGTTACTAAATTATCTAGGAAGTCCTCTACCGACGATCGGGGTTGCATGTTGTTGTAGAGGTTTGGAGAGTTGCTTTGGTTTGAGCCATGTTTTCTTGGGGACAAGCAAACAGTTAAGTGCGGGGGGATTTGATGACTCGATATTTGCACATGTTTTTGTCAACCATTCTTATACTGTGTGATGCTCATTTCTCATGTTTGACTTCAATTTCATGCTAGGTTGTTCTTGTTAGTGACCATTCAGGTCCTAGTACGTGAATAAAGGCTTGGGCACCAGTTTGGGGTCGATTGGACGAAGTTAGGACGTTTGACAGAAAGCTGAGGAAGATACGAGGCCTACCTATAATTTTACACGACCGTGTGTTCTAGCCGTATGCTTGGGACCACGCGACCAGGGTCGTACAAGCTCTGTAAGGGAACTTTTTTGGGCGTTCGGGTTTTCCAGGATAGTTACATGGACAAGGCTGCATTCCACGCGGCCGTACATCCTAGCCGTGTGTCGACCACGAGCAAATAATCAGAACGCTGCGTTTTCGGAGTTACACGAGCAGGCACGAGATTCTACACGACCGTGCGCTGGCCATGTAATCGATCAAATCTGGGTTTCATACAATCATCCAATCAAAAAAACATGGCTAGGGTTCCTCAAAACCTAAGTGAAGGGAAGTTACTCCATAGAAAAGAGAGAGAATGCAGTAAGAATCTTCAGATGATCAGTCTTCAAGTCCGGGCTTGTTCCTCGATCTTCCAAGGCGAAGAAATCCTCCATTTCCACTCCAAGATTGCCCTCAAATCGCCCTCTCTCTCTTTGGTTCGACCCTTGGGTGTTTGGAAACCAAAACCCAGCTCTCCCCTCCAATTTCCCGTGTTCGGCTAATAACAACTCGAGTTCGTGAAACCCGGTCCAAATACCTGGTTGGGTATTTACGGAACCGGCCAAGCATATGTGAAACGGTGCACAGTAGTCAAAGGCAATACCCAACCTCCTGTGAAATTACCCGGTCAGGTACTTAGGGCTGTCGATCGGGGGGCCTTCTACTTCTTTGAGTCTCACAGGCGCATATACCCGGTCGGGTATTTCAGTGACCTAATCGGGTATTTTGCCCTTCAGCTCCTCCTCGCCGCCAACTCTCCATTTTCGACACAAAACTCACTTCCAAGCCACCCTTTCCGCGCCAAATACTGAAATATGACATAAACCTACAACCTAGCGTAAATTGGCTTAAAACACAAGAATCGACTCTTAAACGTTTCAATAATAGTGGGCAAAACATGTGTAGACAACTGTCTATCAAATTCCCCCACACTTAACTGTTTGCTTGTCCCCAATCAAACTTGACTCAAACCAATGCAGCTCTCCAAACCTCTACAGCACCACGCAACCCCGATCGTCGGTAGATGATTTCTTAGATCATTTAGTAGCACGGGAATTTCAGCTCTACTTAGTAGCACGGACACATAAATTAATCGTGGGGAAAGGACCAAAAGATTAGGCAAATTTGGCAAATTTTTGGTGGTGACGATTAAGTTGGAAGCAAGTTCTTTTTGCTGATGGGAGGTTAAGGTTGAACAAACAAGGAATCAAGTTAACCCACATTACAAACGAATTTGGCATCTTCGTTATCTTGACGTTTATCACATGTTCCATCCCTAGTAATCTAAGCTTCTGAAGCTTTTGGTTTGTTACATTCTTTGCACTGATCACCTCCAGTATCCTACTGGGCCTGCATCTGTTTCTTTTTCCATATGGTAACTCAAACAATTTCTTTCCACCTTCACTTCCTGCATTTTTTTTCTTCTTGTTTGCCATATTTGCACTACTAGATAACTAATGAAGAACAACAAAAACAAGAGAAATCAAACCCCTATATTCGTTAATCGAAAGCACACCATAATTATCTAATCCATTACAGCCACAATGTACTATTTGAACTACCAGATAGCTAATGAAATACACCAGAAACACGAGAAAGCAAAACCCTATTCAGACCTTAAAGTTTCGAAAGCACACCATAATTATCTAATCCACTGATACCACAATGTACTACTCGCCTCGTCATGTTTGCCATCTTAAGAAGGCTATTTACGATCTCCATCAACCTCCCTGCGCTTGGTACTCTATCTTGGGCGATTTCCTTCGGGACTTTGGTTTTCACAAGACTCATTCTGATGCTTCCCTGTTCGTCTATTCTCGTGGGCGGACTCTACTATATTTTTTTGTATATGTTGATGAATTACTTCTTACCGGCCACGATCTTGCCGTTCTTTTCACTTTTCAGCAGACTCTTTCCATTCGTTTCTCTCTCATGTGTCTTGGCGATGTCAATTATTTTTTGGGTATTGATGTTATTCCGACTTCTACATACTCTATTTTGTCTCAACACAAGTACATGGTCGACATCCTCAATCGATTCGTGATGAATTATGCCAAGGTTGTTTATACGCCTATGCCTGCCTCTACTACTCTCCTTCTCGACGATGGTACACCTCTTACTGAGGCCACTCGTTTTCGTCAGGTAATCGGTGCCCTCCAATATCTTGTTTATACTCGGCCTACATTGCCTACTCTGTCAACAACCTCTTCAGTACATGCATGCTCTGACAACCTACCATTGCCAATGTATCAAGCGACTCCTTCGATATGTCTCTGGTGCTCTCACCTACGGTCTCGCCATTCGTCGTTCTCATGCTCCCTTCTCATTATCTCCTTTTACTGATTCTTATTGGGCTGGCAATCCCGATGATCATTCCTCCACCTCTGGCTATCTTATCTATCCCGGGTCTTCCCTTATCTCTTGGTGTTCTCAGAAGCAACGGACCGTTGCTCGTTCTAGCACGGTGGCGGAATATCGGGCTATTGCACATGTTGCCGCTGAGCATGATTGGATTAAGAATCTTCTCACCGAGCTCCGGATCTCTTTGGCGTCTCCTCCGACTCTTCACACTAACAATCTCGGTGCCACCTATTTAAGCTCCAACCCGGTCTTTCATTCACGGATGAAGCACTTAGCATTGGATTATCACTTTGCTCGTCAACTTGTTCAAGCCGGTGGCCTACATGTGTCTTACATTCCCACGGCTCAACAACTTGTCGATGCTCTCACTAAGTCACTTCCTGCTATTCGGTTCCTTCTACTGTGATTTAAGATTGGCGTCGTTGATTCCTCCTCCATCTTGTGGGGGCGTATTATAGATAATTAGTAAAAAAAAGTATTTTTATTTTCCATTCATTTCTCCCACTTCCATCATGTTCCTGTGGAACGTGGGATTCCATTCTGTTGTATACCCCTGTATATTAGTTAGAGTAGAGACTCATTCAATGGAATTACGTTCAAGATTTTCTCCAAAACTATTTCTCCAAACCCCTTTTAGCAGGTACATCCGCCTGGGTGTGCTTCTTCTACTAAAGCTTCTCACTAAGCAGAAGGGGATGGATGTATTCAAATGAGATAGGCTCATGTTTGGATTAGATGTGGCGAGTGAACATACAATACGGCTCATCCAAGCCATCGAGGATCCGACTAACAAGCTCGTCGTCTTGCACCATGACCATAGTGCACGGCGCAGCCAACTGATCAGCCGTCAGCTTAGCCCACCGAAGATCGATGTGAATGAAGGCATCACCCCGAGAGAGGTGTTGGAGCAATTTTCTAACCTTGCGAATTTTAATCTCTAATCCAGAGGCGTAACTACGAACTAGGACAAACCAGACATCAAATGCGCTTGACTTGTTGATAACATTAGTCATCACAGGTTCAGAAAGAGACAAAGTAATCCAAGAGAGGACCATCATACCTGGTGGAATATGCCGGATTTGGATGCGCATTTAGAAATTGCCGAGGGGTAGGAGAAGACCCATCGACATGGCCCATGAGGCGGTGTTAACGGTGGAGTGGAACAAGTTTTAGCGTGCAAAAAAGGTAATTGAAAGCATTTAGTTTGATTGTCAATGGGTTATTTTTGGTCAGCGAGAGTGTTGAAGCAGAGGAGAAAACAGATGCAGAAGAGACGGAGGATGTTGGGGATTGAGTGGCCATTGGGAAGACAGAAAGAGAAAAGAAAGAAACGGGAGAAGAGAAGAAAAACAGAGTTTGAGATGGAAGAGGAAGGACTCTTATGAGCTTAAAAGCTCCTATACCGTAAGGAGACAGCAAAACGTGTTTGTTTATTTATCTAACATATAATACAAGACCAAGAGGCACTAACAAACAGCCATTGTGATGCAGAAAAGGAGGAACAGAATGAGAGAAACATTGCTATATGATAACAAAAAAAAAAAAAGCTTGTGGATAGGGATCAGTGGTTGTCCTGCTCATCGGGAGAAACCAAGCTCTCGATGTAAAGCTGAGCGCACCAAACATCGGCGGACAACAGATGCACAACAGAGGCGTCCTCGTAATTGTACACAGCCAACGAAGACCACAGCCACAGCAGAGCTCGTCCCCGAGTAACGTGCAATGGCATGGCATATTGCAGCGATTGAAACCCATCCCGGCCACACTCGAGTCTGAACAACTTGGTCCACGACTCCTTCGATCCAAACTCGTTCATCACCCATAAATCGGAGAAATCGCCATGGCGATGATACATCACGCACAGACAATCTTCCAATACCCCGATCGTCTTCTGGGTAACATCCTCCTGATACTCCGGCTGAATCACTTCCTCATACTGTTCTGTGCCCAAATTAAGTGAAACAATAGAGCTCGATTCGTTATCCAAGAGCCAATTAAGAGTTCCCTTCACATATTTCCCAGGATAATCGTACGGAAGGCCGTACTTGAAATCCTCAATCCTCTTCCAATTTCTGGACTTTGACGAACAGACGTGAACTATTCCCTGGCTCCCAGAAAAGCCTGCTCCACGAATTTCCTTGGGATCTTTGTTTGGGTAGCAGGAGATGGACACAATTTTGTAGTCATTGGATTCGAGATCGTATCCAAAGCCAAACACCATGTAGCGTCTGCGCTTTTTTTCAGGAATCTCGAACCCTGGGAATACAGAGAAAGCTCGGGTGGATGGGTTCCACAGAGCCGGGAATCGCCTCTTGATGGCTACGCAGATCAGTCCATCGCAAGACCCAACAACCCAGAACGGTTTTCGATCGGCTTCGATAAGAAACGGTGAGTGGTCGAGATCGGCGAAACCGAGTTGCTGTGGGTTCATATACAGAGATTCAACTGGGCAGGAACGGTACCCGAGCTTTGAGGTGGATGGAATGAGGAGAAAGGGGTAGGAATATGTGGAAGATTTGAGCCTCCTCAGGTGATACTTAATGAATTCAGGGCTGGAAATGATGGTTTTGAATGATTTGGAGACACACCTGAACCGTACAAGGGATTTGACCGGCAAACGAGTGAAAATTTCGATGATGATATCCCTAGGGAAGACGGTGGTCGTGATTAGCTGGTGGTGTGGCTCGCCGGAAGAGGTTCGGTCATCGCCGTCGGCCTTGCTCTCTCGGCCCGACCTCGCCATTTGAATTTTGAGCTGAGTAGTGAGGAGCTCGTTAGTCCGAACATCTGTTGGTCTTTAACCATGAACATTCTCTTTTTTTTGTTCACAACCATGAACATTCTCTTATCGATTAGATGTGCGGAAAAAAATTGTTGAATGAGAACTTTGAGGCTTTGACTTTTCAGGGATAGCTTGGGTTCCATTGACCGGCACTTTTTTTTTTACAAAATATAATCATATATGAATTCAAAAAACATAGATAGTTACATCCTGAAAGTCAATCAGACCTGAAAATCAAATAAACGACTCATAGTTGGGTACAAAAAAGGACATTCGAGTCACCAAATGGGATACCCTATTGCTACGCCGACATACAAATCGAACACTAAACCCGTATGGACGGCGAAGTAATGCACAATCCTCAAGAATAACCCCCATCTGACTATTTTTGGTATCCGCCCGAATGATCTTATCAATGATCACCTTCGCATCTCTTTCGAATGTTATTTCCGTGAAACCATGGTTTAGGCACCATAAAATCCCTTCACGGAGTACGAGTAATTCCACTCAGTATAACTATCATTGGATTTGAACTTGGTAAATTACAATCCGGCTTAACTGCAGTCTAGGGGGGACCATATCCTGGTGACCTCTCTCGACTTGAAAACAACCTTTTTACCTGCTTTGCTTGTTTGCTTGTTTGGACCTTCACTAAAGTTTCACCGCTAAATAATAAGAACTCACGGAGTAGTCATCACACTTAGGACCCGGGTTGACATTAAAACCCAAACCCGCTATACTACACTTTAGGAGGTGGTTACACTTGGCCATTTTCTAGAGTGACGGTAGGAGCGAGTCAAGTTTTAGTCGCCGTTGCCAGGGACGGCTAGGTTGTTGAAGAAACGTGGTTTCTGTTAATTTAGCTTTTATTTTTAGCATTGTTTGCTTTATCACACTTGTGCCTTCACGGGTTTGCTGCTTGACTGTGTTCAGGTAGTGCATGACCCATAGCCAGTCAGGAGGTTTACTGCCGTTGGATCCGGAGCTTGAACGCACCTGTCGCCAACTTAGGAGACAACAGCGAGCTAGACTGGCTACGGCGGAGCGCATAGACGGCCACTTGAGCAGCGATTCCGAGGAAGAGTACGAGATGGAAGGTGAACACAACCCGCCCCAGGTAGGGATGGCAATTTACCCACCCATGGGTAATTTTGCCCAAACCCAAGTAGACCCATTTATTATGGGTAGGGTTTGGGTGATGTGTGTATGGGTTTGGGTTAGATATGGATATTACTAAATGGGTATGGGTTGGATATGGATATCCATTTACTTGAGGGTGTTTTAACTACACATGCAAAAATGGGACCTATTTGTAAAACTTGAAAAATTTAGGTACCAAAATGTAAGACCAAAAAAATTTAGGTACCAAAACGTAATTTTCCATCGATATTTTGAGGACTTATATGCAAAAATATTAAATTTAGGTACTAAATATGCATATATATTAAGTTTAGGTACCAAACTGTAATTTGTATTTGGGCATGGGTACAAACCCAAATCCATTTGTTATAAACCCAACCCAACCCAAAGTAAATGGGTATGGGTACAAACCCATCAAACTTTACCCATATCCATATATTTGGATTTCATACCCAACCCAATTGGGTTGGATAGTAAAATACCCATGGGTATGGGCAAAATTGCCATCCCTAGCCCCAGGGGATACCTCTCCAGGTCCCCCCAGTGAATCAGATCTTGGGGAACAACCTTATACCCCAGGCAGATGGGGTTAATCATCAACCACCGCCGCCGGGTCCCACCTTGGAGTACTACTACACTCAACGGGTCGCTGATATTCGGCCTGTCATCCTCTATCCACCCATCCCAGTGAAAAACTTTGAGATCAAGCCATGCTGGATTTAACTCATTACATCCTCTATCCAGTTTCATGGCTTGAAGGATGAGGAGGCAAGGGTGCATCTTTCCCATTTCCTGCAGATCTGGCCAACAAGTTCGTGCACAGATACTATCCGGCATCGAAGGCAACAGAGATCCAGTGGGAGATCACTCACTTCCGCCAAGAGCCAGATGAGTCACTTCGTGATGCATGGGAATGGTACTCGGGATTTTTCTGGCAGTGTCCCCATCATGGCTTCAGTGATGCATTCACCGTGGGGAACTTCTACAATGCTCTCTCTCTGGAAAGCCAGAGGGTGATTGAGTCTCTATGCCCAGGAGGGGATATTCTTACTAAGACTCCACCCGAACTGAACCAGATGATCAGTACCTTGGCTGCCAGAGATCACTCCTGGGGGCAGAGCACCAGAGGTAGGAATTCCCGGGATCGTGGTGTATACGCCATGGAGGCCAGGTCTGGGCTAGAGCGGGAGGTGGATGAGTTAGTGCAGACATTGAAGCAGCCCAACAGTCTTATTCCGGGTAGAGGTTTGGCTGTACCTCAAGTAGCTCAATGTCAGTGGTGTGAGAGCTCGAACCATCTGGTGGAAGACTGCCAGGCTATGCGGGAGTCTTCTACTCCCCAAGAGCAGTTGGACTTCATCGCCAATGCTCGGCGCCTTGACCCATACAGCAATACATAAAATGAGGGGTGGCGCCAGCATCCTAACTTTGCTTGGAATAGCAACACCACTAAACCACCTGAATTCCCTGCACCAGCGGGTGGTTTTCAGCAGAGACAGCATTTCCAGGCTAGACAGGGGTCAGTTCCACAGCAGCAGCCTTACCAGCCTAGGCAGGGGCATCTATTCCAGCAGCCCCAGCATTAGTATGCCCAGTCTCCAGCAGCTGCAGCTCCAGATAATCAGATGACGGAGCTGGAAAATATTTTGCAGGCATTCATGACCACTAGCCAGGCGAATTTCACGAGGATGGACCAAAACATAGCCTCACTGGAGGCAGGCCAGAGGAACCAAGGTGCCATTTTGCAAGATCTACAGAATCAGATTGGTGGCATAGCTCGCCAAAATACTACCAGGGCACCGGGGACTCTGCCTGCCACCACCATTCTTAACCCTCGTAAGCCTCACCAGCACCAGCAGCTGGATGGCATCACTACTAGGAGTGTCAAGACCACATCTGCTGCTCCTACCCAGCCCAGGCAGGACGAGCCACTACCTGCTTCAACACTTCCAGCTGACAATGCAGAAGTGGGGACGGATAAAGAAGCACCTACTCCCAAGCCACAGCCAGTGGTTAAGGAGCATGTACCCCAGCTTCCTTTCCCCACTCGCCTACATAAAGACAAGCTGGAGACTGAGTTTGCCAAGTTCATGGCAATATTGAAGCAGGTCAACATCAGCATGCCGTTCGAGGAGGCACTGTCGAAGATGCCCAACTACGCCAAGTTCATGAAAGACATCCTCACCAACAAGAAGAAACTTGGGGATCTTTCGACAGTGATGCTAAGTGAGGTGGGTTCTGCTATCCTGCAGAACAAACTGTCCGTGAAGCGTAAAGACCCAGGGAGTTTCACTATCCCTCTTGATATTGGCAGCATGCATGTAGGAAAGTCCTTGGCGGACCTAGGCGCTAGCATAAATGTCATGCTCTACAAATTGTTTGAAAAGCTAGACCTAGGTGAACCTAGAGCTACTAGGATGAGCATTCAGTTAGCTGACCGTTCCATTGTGCATCCTAGGGGTATCATTGAGGATCTGCTTGTTAATGTAGGTGCATTCACATATCCTGTTGACTTTGTTATTCTGGATATAAATGAGGATGTGGATGTACCTTTGATTTTTGGTAGACCGTTTCTCGCCACCGCCAAGGCGCTTATTGATGTGCATAGTGGTAAATTGATCCTGCGTGCTGGTGATGAACAGGCTACTTTTTCTGGGTGTGAGAATGGGAAACACTCCCATTTGCATGATGACGTAGATTACTGTGATGTGCTTGCTGATTTTGAGACCGCACTCGCTATAACGAGTGCGGGTACTGACAATGCTCTTGAGCGTTGTATTTTGCTAGGTGAGCAGGCATCGCAGGAGCCGCAGCTGGCGGAGTAGTTGGCCGCGCTGGAGAGTGGCCCATTCCTGGAGGGCGACAGGCTGTTCAAACTGATCTCATCATCACCCCACATCACTACCTCCTTGGAGGAACCACCGGAGCTGGAGCTAAAGCCCCTCAATCCTCATTTGGAGAATGCATTTCTCCGGGAGGGGAATAAGCTGCCAGTCATCATCAGCTCGAACCTCACACCCGAGCATAAGGACAGACTGGTGGCCTTGCTGAAGCAGTACGAGCGAGCTCTAGCTTGGAAGATCACAATATCCAGGGGATCAGCCCCTCCTTTTGCTCCCACCGGATACTGCTGGAGGATGAGATGCGGCCAGTGAGACAGCCGTAGAGAAGACTGACACCGAACCTGGAGGCTGTGGTTCGGGCGGAGATCGTGAAGCTGATGGACGCGGGGATCATCTTCGCCATTTCCTACAGCGAGTGGGTCAGTCCCACCTAGGTGGTACCCAAAAAGGGTGGGATGACCGTGGTGCCTAACGAGAAGAATGAGCTCATCCCGATGCGCACGGTGACTGGGTACCGTGTTTGCATTGATTATCGGCGTCTCAACGACGCCACTCGGAAGGACCACTTCCCGCTGCCGTTCATGTATCAGATGCTGGAGAGACTGGCGGGGCATGACTTCTACTGTTTCCTGGATGGGATGTCCGGGTATTTCCAGATCCCCATTGCACCAGAGAACCAGGCAAAGACCACCTTCACCTGCCCCTTCGGCACATTTGCCTACCGGAGGATCCCATTCGGGCTGTGCAATGCCCCGACCACTTTTCAGCGTTGCATGCTCGCCATCTTAGACCGTCTGTTCGGTGAGATTATGGAGGTGGTTTTGGACGATTTCTCTGTTTATGGAGATTCATTCTCAAACTGTCTCCATAACCTGGAACTCGTCCTTAAACGATGTGAAGAAACGAACCTAGCACTAAGTTGGGAGAAGTGCGACTTCATGGTTCGCGAAGGCATAGTTCTGAGGCATAAGATCTCCA